CAATTCTCTGTGGACATGTTGGAATAGTTCGTGCCGTTAGTCAGAGCCGCCAGTTAAATCGTCATTTTAATCAGCTGTTGTCTTTGTCGCCCTTCAGCCTATTCGGCATTGTAAAAGACAAAGAAGTTCAACGTCTTATTTGATAGATAGACCAATGCGCTGTGACAGCCTTATATACATAACTTTCAGACACAATTCAGATTTCTACATAGCTTTATAAGCGGAAATATTGGGTTACCTATCTAAATAGGGATCCTTTGACCATTTTTATAGTGATAAAGTGCAGCGGTTTCTGGGTTTTTGCATCCTCTGTACCAATTTTCTATCCTTATGCTAAATCGAATATATTGAGGAATGCTTACGCAGGCTCTGTACGTCCATACAGTCTTAAAGAAAAAGAAGACGCGAGCTCTGGAACGACAGAGATCGCGTATGCTTCTTTACAACAAGAACCTGGGGCACGCATATTTGCTTCTATACAGCCTTAAGAATTGTCACAACCTAATTTTTCTTATATGTTATAAGGACCTACAATTAGTTGCATCCATACATCAGGTAAAATGGTAATTGTTTATTTTTGACGGCTGCGACCTTTGCAACAACATACTTTGTGCAGAAACGAAAACATATCGCAGCTTTATTGCAGAGTTATTCATATTTTTGTTTGATCATCACGAAACAGGGTCCCATCGAAGCCCCAAATTTTGCGCATGTGTACATGCCGTATGCTTCCTTTCACGAACGACCAGAACTTCCCGTGTTCATTTTGCACGTTAAGAGGCGTTTTTGATAATCTGCAACTGCTGTACTACTTTCGCAGTCTTCACTGGCTTGGATGGTTTCGGACGTCTCTAAGTAAAGTCCGACAGTACACATTAAGTATTTGGACATTTTAAGGTATCGTTCGCCAAAATTCATCTTTATTGTAAATTCGTATAAATAACTCGTATATAAATAAGTTTATGATAGCACGTTGTGTAATACTTTCTATACCCCAGATTTGTGCGTTATAGGCTTTGTACAAAGCGAAGTATGGAGAGGAAAGGTTGCGAAAGGGTGGACCTACAAAATATTATCGAATGCAGGGTCCAAATGCATAAGAGTAAGGAGAACTGGCTCACCTCAAGTATGACAGTGCCTACGGGCGTGTCCTCATAAACTTCAACTTTGTAGAGGGATTGAGTAAAACTTGGTTCCATATCATTAATATTGATGACCTTAACTATGATTGGTAGAGTTGCAGCCTGGCTTGCTTTCGAGATATCCATCTGGGCACTCTGTAGTTCAGGATTCCAGGCAACCAAGCTGAAGGCGTATTCATTGGTATCCTCGTAGTCTAAATCCTCCTTCAGCACCAAAAACGGTCGAGAATCGTTGGTAATTGTCAGTCCAAACATCTTTAGGGAATTCCATTGTCGCGGTGAAAAATCCAAACGGTAGGAGATGAGGGAAAATTTTGGAGACACGTCCATATCTATGGCTTTCGGCAGTTCGATGGTCTTACCCTTAGTATAGATGACCTCCTTCAGACGCAGCTCAAAAGGTCGTGAAATATCTGCAGGAAACATGACCATATTATCGTCAGTATCCTCCACCTTGATATGCACACTGATAACCGCGACCAGCTTCCGTTCCAACCATACATTTACCACCAGCGTAAGCCACAGTTCCAAACTGCCAGCTAGACAGTGTACAGAGCAGAGTTCCTCAAAATCAATATCTGTCTTTGTCTCGAGTGCTGAAGAAGTTTCATCCAGCTCAAAGAGGTCGGAGCGCTCACGTAAACGGAACTTTAGGTCTTTACATCGTTGTTCGCCATGGTGGTTGCAGAGGCTGGAAAAATTTACCATATGCTGCTGTTGCAGCAAGTCATCATCAAGGCAACCCACGCGGTATCCCACCGATTCGTTCTCCCTCATGGTATACTGCATATGAAAATGCCTATGGTTCCCCAATGTCCCGCATGCAACTAGAAGCAACATCTGCAGGATGAGGATTCCGGACGTCGTAAAGTCCATTGTTGGTCCAAGTTGAGGCAGTAAAATTCCCTATCAGTATAAGGATCTGCAAAAGAGAATGTTCCCTTTCACAGGAAATCTTTCAAGAAGGATCATGAAGGGAGCAACAATCATGAAAAAAATAAAGATCTTGTTCTTAATCGTTATAATAAACAAATAAAATAGCCTCTTTTACATGTCCATCATTGTAGTGAGAAAATCACGTGGACATCTGAATTGAAGTGGATCAAAGAACTTTGGTTGCGTATCTCTTAAATGCGAATGTTCGGCCTTTTTGTAACGTCGCAGACGGTCAAACTTTTTGACCCTAAACAGGATCAGTGACCGGAAGAAGGCTATGAATTCTTTAAGGCACGTTTTGTATTAACAACGTGTTTTAATGCTCCAATTACCGCACTAGATTCCGCCGTGTTGACAGGAAAAAAGCTGTAGCCGCAAAGACATTATTCACCGACTAACAAGTTCATTGACGTGTGCGCTCGACAAAGTGTAGAAAATTTGCTGTTAACTTCGGCTGGAGATAGTTCTCCATACGTCAAAGACTTCTGCACTCATGACATTCTTTTACGAGGCTTATGAAGTTGGTGAAGCTCATTTACCTCGAGATTGTCGCTTAGCAGTTAGCCTGTTGCTCCAAATTGCAGTTAAAAGTGTACCGGACTGCTGGATTTTCTAATGTTCTGTTTGCATCCAGGTGGACTTTTGCTATCCCCAAAAAGGTAGTTGGGGATTGCATTTCCACCGCCCTTCTGTATAAACAACTCTATTTTCCTCTCATCTGGTTATTTTTAATCACGTGATGCGTTCAGAAAAATTGAGCCTCATGTCAATATAATATATCCGGACTTTGGCGAACTAGTGAAGAATTTAAAATTCAGGGCTAAAATTCTGCACCGTTAGACGGTATCAAACTGCTGACTTTCTGATTTTGCATTGGCGTTCTTCCTCTTGTGTTATAAGGATGCATTTGTCAGTCGTGCAGATAATTCGCATTCCCTCATCTTTGTCTCGCAAAGCGAATTAGTCATTCACCTTGCGTTGGAAAGAGCAAGTCTAGTGCAACCATATGAAACATTTTGTGTTCACTACTATCTCGGGAGGATCATATTGCAGGGACTCTAAGTGAGGGAACTTACAAATACTAGACGGTATGTGGGAAATAAATCTTCAAGTAAAAGAAATGTTGAACTGGGTAAACACAAATATTATAAATTCAGTCACTGATCCCCATTAAAAGAAATTGCATTTATATTTGCAGAAATTGCGAGGAGTAGTATTTTTGCATGCCTATCGAAATAGTGAAACAAGCTACAGGGTGTACATAATAAAGCCGGCAGCCACCTGACTCGTTAGTGCATGTGTCTCCAAAAAATCTAACTGACTGAATAGGACTACTTGATTTGAAATTGCGAAGCCTATAAGACTACTTGGATATGACTGTCTGCATTATATGTTTGGACTTCGGATAGGAAGAAGCATACCTGATGCCCTC